AGCAACAAGATTTCGGATCCAACTAGATCTGGCTAAGAAGGATTATGGAACTAGTGTGTGATTTTCCTCATTTGAATTGCCCTTTCTGTCCTCCTTCACCTAGAGTGCTTAGATTTCCAGTTTTGGTAGATTCGCACAGTGTGTTAAGATACACTCTGTTGAACAAATTCCATTTGATTCAGCTTAAACCACATACGAAACCATAGCCGCCTCTATGGGTCCTCCAACCTTATGGAGGAGTCTGCTCTCAATGAAATGATGGTCTCTTCTACAAGTAATGAATTTAAATATAATAGAAATAAATGAAAACCAATAAATATTAATATTTATTAAGGAGGGGAAAACACCCTCCTTTAATTGAGTTTTTGGATTAAAGTTCAGAAAGAGCTTGTGGTAACTATGTTTTACCAGCTATTCTTCTTTTGACTTTTATTCTTCTAGTACTTATTTGCCCAGGATGTCAACAGTTTTGGGTTTACTAACTCTTTGGCTAGGTTCAACATAAAGTATTAAAATAAATAATAGCCAAACAAAATAAGTAATCCATTGCTTGTGTTGGATTGCTTACGTTTTTGAATTCCATGGTATTTCAAAAAATTTCTGCAAAATTCAATTGTGCACAGTTAGCTATATTTTTCTTTTACTTTTTATAGAATTAAATAAATGTACTGATTTTCTGTACGTTTCTGAGGGAATAAAGATAAAGGTTTCCCCTTTCCAGTTGTAGGGGGCATTGTTCATCTTTGTTTTTTAGAGAGCCAGTGTGGTCTGAAGACATTTTTATGGTCTGCATGACTATATGTTGAGGCGCATGGAATGCTGTTACCTTCCCACCAAAATAGTTTAAAACCTGCCATTTTCATAAGTGAAAGAATTTTGGAAGTAAATGCCAGGAAGGAACTCTTAATAATTTATTTCCTTTTGCTGAGGAGATAGATCTGTCAGTCAAATCCAGTCATCACTCCCCCGCTAACTACTTTGTCATTTAACAGAGAAAAAAATGTACCTGTGGGTGGAAGGAGTATTAGTTATAAACTGTCTGCCTTTCTGCAATTCTCCAGAATCCATTTCTGTTTCTTGACAGATCCCAACACCTTATACTGTAGAAGCACAGTATCATTACAAATTTAATTCAAGATTTGGCCAGACTCAGGGCATCTTTTACTGTATGTAAGAGTACATATGTATGGATAGGGATATGCAGGTATTCAATCCAAAACTAAAAAGATATTTTTGATTCAGGAGGTAAAGCTTACCTCCTTATATATCAGCAGCACTTTAAAGAAACCATGTTTTTTTCTTCATTTGGTGTTCCAGGAATTTTAATTCAGCGGATGTTAAAGAGCTAGCAACCTGTGTACTTTTGGGACCTCATGGCTACTTTCAAGACCACAAAAAAATCTAGCTTCCTTAAGGTGCTGATGACAGCTGCAACCTGTGCACACACCAGCGGCTGCAAAAGATGCACTGCTCACTATTAATTTGAATATATACCATATACCCCACTCAGTATTTCTTCATTTATCCCTTGTTTGTGCTACATCCAGGCCTCTGTAACTTTAACTATAATGTTACTTATTGGACTTTGAAAAAAATCAGGATAAAAATAATGTTGATGGTTTTGAATTTTGGTGTTAAAAGAAAACCTCTGAGAATGTCATGGATAGCCATGGAAACAAACTAATGGAGCATACAACAGACCTGTTTTCACTTGAGTCACTAATGTCCAGGTTAAAATTATTATATTTTGGATTCATTTTATGGCTTAGGACCTGGTTATCTACGGGACCGCCTACTACCACCAACAGCCTCCCACCGACCAGTACGCTCCCACAGAGAAGGGCTCCTCCAGGTGCCGTCGGCCAAACAATGTCGGCTGTCGGCCCCTAGGGGGAGAGCCTTCTCTGTGGGGGCACCGACGATCTGGAATGAGCTCCCCCCAGAGATACGGAGGATCCCGGATCTGCGCACCTTCCGCCGCGAGTTGAAGACGCTTTTATTTCATCAAGCGGGCCTCGCCTAAATTTTCTCCCTTTTAAATGAAAATTTTAAATTTTTAATTGTATTTTAAAATTATGGGTATTTTAAATTATGGATATAAATTCAGCCAAATTTATTTAATTTATTTTATTTGATTTTAAATTTTGTATATTTATGTGTTTTATTTCATGGCTGTACACCGCCCTGAGTCCTTCGGGAGTAGGGCGGTATAGAAATTCAATTAATAAAATAAATAAATAAATAAATGAAGCCCCAGCTCCTTTGAGAAGCTATTGTGTTGGGAGAGGTGGACAGAAAGAGAAGAGATTGATGAGCAGCAAAATGGATGAACTTGATTACAAAGGGGTACCATTAAAAGAAAACCTGAAAGGACATATTGAGGACACAGCAACTTGCCAACTGTATATGTGGATCCTAAGAATCAGGACTGACTTGAGGGCACATTATAAATCAATCAATATTAATTAAGTCTGTGAGAAACTGTCTAAAGGAAATACTTTGATAATCGTTACTCAGGCTTCTTTCCCATCTTTCAGTTAAGATAGAAGGGGAAAATCCATTGGGATTTGATACATTGGGAGTAATGTATCAGAGGTCTAACTTTTTTATTCTCAGCCTCTAGGAATTAAAATATGCTTTTCTTACATTTTTGTTCTAAAATGACATCAATTATCCCTGTCAATTAGGCTCAAACCATCACTTTACTAAATATGCAATTAAGCATTTCTTACTGCTTCTGACAAGACTAGTCTATTAAATTTTGAACTGTGCAGGCAAGAAAATATATAGTATTCAAAGATTAAAATAAACTATTATATTAAGCATATATGTACAAAACATTGCAGAAAAATATGTGCATCTGCTAAATTGCTCTAAATTATAAAATAATATTCTAAATTAATACATTTTTAAAATCTAATCAGAAGGTTGCGCTTACCCAGGATGAGAACATTTTTCTCTGATTTTTTTCTTGCCCTCTCTTTCACATAATAGGAAAACAAATATTTGATATCTGCTCCAAAGTATATTTTTTTCAATATAAGAACTCTACCTAGTTGCCAGGATTTATCCATTAAACTATAATCTTCTCAAAAGTATCCAGCTTTTAAATTCACTATCCTAGAAATATTGAGGCAAAATTAAAACAAAACAGTCCTACCTAAGTAAGCAAATTGCCACAAATTCAGAATCCAGTTGGCAGGGTCACAAATAATGATCATAACGCACTGTACGCCGCCCTGAGTCTCCGGAGAAGGGCAGCATATAAATCAAATTAAAAAAAAATGACCCCAGGACAACATTGTAAATATATGCTAGTTACCAAGCACCTCATGTGACCATGAGGATGGTGTGAAGTTGTACACTAAATATGAGGATCAGTCATAAATCTTTTTTTTCAGTACCATTGTAACTTTGAACAGTTGCTAAATATATGGTTGAAAATTGAAAACTACATGTATCATTTTGGAACATATGCCAATAACCCATAATGGTGTACTGATTAAGTATTGAACTAGGACTGCCTCATTCAGATAGAGAAGCTGAATGAGTGAAATCCATACTTTGTCTTTTAGTTCAACCTTCTCAATACTTCGCTTGTAATGGGGATAAAATTAGAACAGGGGATTTCATGCACACTGCTTTGAATTTCTTCAAGAAATATACCATAGAAAGCTAACAACTCCTAAGATCATATCATATAAATATATGTGAAGCTTCTTTTCCGATAACATTGTATTGCTAACTACGGCATACTAAACCTAAACCTACTGTCCCTGTCCTACTGTCCCCATTTATCTGTATTTACGTCCTTTGTTCATGTTTATGTTCATACCTATACTTGTTATCTTGTACATGTTTGACAAACAAATAAAATAAAATAAACACATATTTTATGATTCCAACTCAGCTTAATCTCCCAATCAAAAATTAAAACTCATATTTTGTCAGTTCTCCCAGGTAAAGCAAATAGGAAACACGACTAGATGACCTAATTATACTTTATTGTAAATTTAAAACTTGCATGTCTGAAGACATAAATTTCTCGCCTCCACTTTTAACTGCTGGATCAATTAGGGTGGCTACTTCCTAAACTTATACTTTGACCATTAAACCACTAGGAGTCTCCATATGTCTTGTTTCTTAGGCAGATCTCTTCCCTTCATCCCCCAAGGTCATACACACATTCTGTTACACATTTTAAAAGCTAGTTGGATATTGGTTCTACAGTAGATTCATACATTGTTCATATTTTATTTAATTATGATTTACAGAATTAACCACTACTTGTTCATTCAATAAATGAAATGGCTATGTTCATACACTATGCTAAGGCCAAGCAATACAGCAAGACTAAACAAACTATATAATGGTTTAGTGTGATCATAATTGAAATATCTCAGAAGCTCCAGCCCATTTTTTACATTACATGGGAATAAAGGACAGAGAGGAAACTATCTTACTGTCGAGGGGTCATATAAAAAAATTAGTTCTTGAGTTCTGACTTTATAATTATAGTGAAAGAATTTCCATGCATTATTATAATTTGGCAGAGTATGCAAGCTTGACCCCATGGAGAAACTAATTTTTCAACCTACCTTATAGAGAGTAATGCTGGGCAAGTCTTCATTTTAGGAACAGCAAAGTAAGGGAATTTATGTATTTGCTTGTTTGTTTATTTAAAGGACTTATGTGGGCCCCTATTTCACATAGTGATCTTAGCTCAAAACAAGAATTAATGAAGCTATCTGATTAAACTTCGATGATGTGAAACACTGAGCTTCACAGTAAATCATCTTAGCACTAGCTTAAATTAAATTTTATAATCTGTGCTTCATTGACATATTTAATTTTCCAAAGAAGAACTAATGGGAAAACTTGATACGCCATAAATGTTTAGTGTAATTATTTAAAATGTAATACCAGAGGACAGAAATGTTTTAACTGACAATGTATAAAATAAAATCTAACAAAGTCTGCTTTTTTTCAATTTCCCACAGAGCCAGGAAAGACATATTACTCCAGAAAAGACCTGCAATGGATAAAAAAAGCAATGGTTATCTCTTATTGATCATTCTACTAATTGTAAGTAAAAAAAAAAAGCCTAATAGCATTGATCTGAAAACCACTCAGGCCAAAGTTTGCATGTTTTTAAGTGCAAAAACCATATTATGCTAAGGTGACCAGACGTTCCGCTTTTGGCGGGACAGTCCCGCTTTTGAGCAATTTGTCCCGCGTCCCGCGGCGTTTTAAAAAAGTCCCAATTTTTCATTCTGCCTCCTGAGTCCCGGCTGCCTCCTGAATCCCCGCTGATGGCTAGAGGGAAAAAAAACTCTTTAAACTCTTGCCGCGGGGCTTCAAAGGGCCGACCTACAGCTGATCAGTGTTAAAAAAAAATGAATAGACCCATGCCTGCAAAAATAGAAAAAACAGCCCCTGTTAACAGCTTCCGCTAGGTTAATTAGCTGCAAAAAGCTGCAAAAAGTTCCTGGAGCAGATTTTTTTCCCCCTAGCTATACTGAAAACAAAGGCGAAAGCGAAACTAAACCTGCAACGTGACAAAATGAGGCAGAGAGAGATTTCTTTCTTTTTCTTTTTCTTTTTCCTCACCAAAAAAGGTAGGTACAAAACTGCAAACAATGGGAAATTTAGGGCAAAAGAGGAGAGTTCAAGATTTTAAAACACAAAAGAAAAAAAGCTCTATTTAACTAGGGAATTGTAATAATTGAGATACTATTAATAATTGTATATTGTGTTGAAAGCAGAAATGGTTAAGTTGTGGTTTGGAGGAATATATGGGGGAAATTATTTGGTTTATTATTATTGGTAAATATAATTAATTGATTTGTAAGAAATTGGATTGCATGGAAATAATTGGAATATTCATGTTCATATTGATTAATATACAAAAAAGATAGTTATATAACTAATTGATTTATATTAAAATGTTGAATTTGTATTAAACAACTGTATTACATAATTACATAATTAACCAATGTGAGGATGGATATAAAAATAGATGACAATGGGAAGGGGTATAATATAGAATAGAAGGGAAAAATTGAATTTGATTAAGATTAGAGATGAGGATGAAGGGTAATATTGTTTTTTTTAAAAAAATAGATGAGGAATAAATATGGCAAAAAGGAAATATAGAAATTGTAAATTTAATTGAAATGACTAAACGCTGTTTAAATTTGTGAACCAGCCAAATATTCTGTTCAAAGAAAATACATTGTATGTTTGTATGTGTGTTTCTAATTATTGCCATTTATTCATATTTGTTCTCTTTTATTCTTTAAAGTTTAACAATTCATTCTTAATCTTAATATCTTTATATTTGCTTGGGGTTGGCTTTCTTCCCTTTCATCTTTTTTATTGTACAGCAATCTTTCTCCTCAAACCTACCACCACTCTCTTTTCTTTCCTTCTTACTTTCTCTTCCCCCACCCTCTTTTTCTCCTCCCTACTTCCTCTTCCTTTCTCCTTCTCCTCCTCTCTTCCTCCCTCTCTTACCCTCACTCCTACTCTAATTTCCATTCCTTCATCCCTCTCTATTGCTGTATCCTTTAATGCATATGGACTACTCAGAGGGCTGAAAAAGTTATTTTTGACTGGTCCTCACACTTTTGACCAGTCCTTGAACTTATGACTGTCCTCACATTTTACATTTTTGCCTTATCTTGTCATCATGGTGAAGAGAAGCAGTTGTGAAATGAGTGACATGGTTGTTAAGAATGCTGCATGGGCATAAATATGAGGATGGTCATAAGTGTGAGGACCAGTCAAAAGTGCGAGGACCTGTCAGAAATGACTTTTTTCAGCCCTCTGGTTAGTCCTTTTGTGCATATGGACTACTCAGAGGGCTGAAAAAGTTATTTTTGACTGGTCCTCACACTTTTGACCAGTCCTCGAACTTACGACTGTCCTCACATTTTACATTTTTGCCCTATCTTGTCACCATGGTGAAGAGAAGCAGTTGTGAAATGAGTGACATGGTTGTTAAGAATACTGCACGGGCATAAATGTGAGGATGGTCATAAGTGTGAGGACCAGTCAAAAGTGTGAGGACCTGTCAGAAATGACTTTTCAGCCCTCTGAGTAGTCCCTATACACATAGCCATGGCCACCCGGTCACATGACCAGCTAGCCACACCCACCCAGTCACATGGCCTCCAAGCCACGCCCACACAATAAGTCACGCCCACAATGGTGTCCTTCTTACCAATGTTAAAATCTGTTCACCTTACCCTATACACATAGCCATGGCCACCCGGTCACATGACCAGATAGCCACGCCCACCCAGTCACATGACCAGCTAGCCACGCCCACCCAGTCACATGACCAGATATCCACGCGCACAAAATAAGCCACGCCCACAATGTCCCTCTTTACCAATGTTAAAATCTGGTCACCTTATATTATGCAGGGTAAACAACTTTAAGCCCACTGTTCCTACTGCTGTCTTGGTCAAACCACACTTGGTCTAATTAAATGTACCTCAATGCATTGTGCAAGTTAATGAGATATCATAATTTGTTTAGTTATTTGATTTACATCTGTTGTGAAAAATATCCATCTGGTTCAGTTCCAAGCCAGGAGAAAGACACTGGAAACATGGAGGCTGATTGGAAAGTGGGCCAGAACCACCAAGCACATGGTTCTGGTGCAGGTGACCACATGGAGTTGAGAATGAGGGGTATTTATACCGTCTCTTGGGCTTTGGACTTGAGCTTCCTGTTCCTGTGCAAGAACATGTATTTTATTGGCAGTGGTCAGACTCCCATGGGGCCATGTGTGGTCAGGTCTGAGATAAGTTTGGTTGAAGTTTGCTGATGCAATATCTTTAGGAGATTTTGCAATGCAGTAAATTCTGCTGCTAGATAATCCTATCTGGAAGGTCATGTCTTAATCCCATTATCCTGGAGCTGAACATCTTTTGTTTTGTAGATAGGATAGGCCAGTCTTTCTTAATGGGAACCAAATATCTGTTGGGGGCAGGGAGCTGGGGCTGAGTTTCTATCTACCTTAAGATTTCTATTTTTCTTTTGGGATAAATATAATATTCTGCCTTTTTAATATTTCTCAAAATATTTCATTCTTCTAGGAGGGGTGACTTCCCTCACATCAAATTAAATCAAATAATTTGATTCAATCCTTTCAACCTAACTTGCAGCTAAAACAAAGTTGGAGATGCACTCCTTCTCACTCCATCCAATTAATGGTATTAAAATGGCATTCTTCTATATGTGTTTATATCTATCAAGACAATAATTTGATACTAATTAAATTAGTACCATGAATTATAATTGATCACATGTAAAATAATTTGCCCAGTTTATTAATTCCCCTTTCCAAACTTTCCAAAATCAACATTCCAATTTCCCTTTTTATATATATATATATATATAATATATATATATATATATATATATATATATATATATATATATATATATATATATATATATATATATATATATATATATATATATATGTAGGTCTTTGGTTATTCGGGTCTTCTCCCACGTAAAATTGGAAGTGTCTTGGCGACGTTTCGACGAAGTCTCATTCGTCATCTTCAGGCTGGTGTTCTCGGCTTCGTGCTTCGAGCAAATTTGCTCCTGGAAGCACGAAGCCGAGAACACCAGCCTGAAGATGACGAATGAGACTTCTTCGAAACGTCGCCAAGACACTTCCAATTTTACGTGGGAGAAGACCCGAATAACCAAAAACCTACATACAAACACCCGCGAAAACCTGAGAAACAAACAAATATATATATATATATATATATATATATATATATATAACAACAGCAACGCAGCTCACCAGCTCAAATTCCCCTGCAACTCAGACTAACCCGAGCACAACCAAGCCCCCACCCAAACAGAACACCCCCCACCCAAACAGAGCAAAGCCAAGCCCCTATCCAATCAGAGCACAGCCAAGCCCCCAACCAATCAGAACACACCTCCACCCAATCAGAACACAGCCAAGCTCCCACCCAATCAGTTCACACCCCCACTAGCAGTTAAAAGGAAGAAACAGCTGCAATCACACATTGCTCCTAGAAGCACGAAGCCGAAAACACCAGCCTGAAGATGACGAATGAGACTTCGTCGAAACATCACCAAGACACTTCCAATTTTACGCGGGAGAAAACCTGAATAATCAAAGACTGACATACAAACACACTGACATACGAAAACCTCAGAATATACGTGTGTGTGTGTGTGTGTGTGTACAGTTAATATCTCGGGTTTCTTCCCATGTAATTGTAAACATATCCCTAAAAGGGTAGTAGCGACGTTTCGACGAAATTGCATTCGTCATCTTCTGGCTGAAGTTCTCAGCTTGGTGCTTATGGACAAACATAAGAAAAACCGAGAAGATGACGAATGCAATTTCGTTGAAACGTCGCTACTACCCTTTTAGGGATATGTTTACAATTACACGGGAAGAAACCCGAGATATTAACTGTACACATATATATAAGCTTGCATCAAACTTTTTTCATCAAGGCTAAAAGGAAACTCAGTCAATGTGAAAAAATTTGCCCTTCTAAACATTCCAAAAGCAATTAATAAGAAATTTTCTAAGGTAGTTAAAGAAGAAAATATGTGAATCCAATGTTCATTTGAAGGCTCTGAATCATGGCTTAGATGAGATGACTTTTCTTTGGTTCCCCTAGCTCTAAAAGCCACCAGAGATTTCTGTCTTGTAATCTCTTCAAGGGGAATCTTTATAAAGAGTTCTTGTGAGTGATCCTGGTTTTCTGCAAAGTCCAGGGTTCCAAGTCCAGTCCACCCAGCTAAGTGAGTCCATGAGTCAAACTGTAGTCCACAAGGCAAAGGCAAGACACAAGACAAAAGGCAGTCCTCAAGGCAAGGCAAGGCAAGGCAGAAGGCAAAAGGACAAGTCAAAGCCAGAGGAGTATAAGCCAGAACAAATAATTGTTTCTGGCAAAGACTAACTCCACATGGTTTCTCCTTAAGTCAATCCATTCTAGATGTTCCTTGTGAGGAAGGGTGGGGCAACCTTCACCTGAGTAGCATTGTAGCCCTTCTCTGAGCTTGTCTAT